GTAAGTAAGTAGTGTGTGTGTGTGTGTGTGTGTGTGTGTGTGTGTGTGTGTGTGTGTGTGTGTGTGTGTGTACATACAATAAAATTTATAATTCCATAGAAATAATGCATTAATAAATTAAAAAATAAAATAGCAATGTGAAGATGTTTTAAGACAAACTTTTGTACCTTAAAAATTTCAAGTTTGATGTCTTCATTTTATGCCCGTTTAATATGTAGTATCAAAATAATAATTGAGTCAAATGACTTTCCCGAAATTTTTTTCAAGAACAGCTTCGAATTTAAAACAAAATAAAATTAGGAAAGATTAAGATCTCTAGCACTTTATTACATTCCGTATAAAAGTTTCCTCGAAATTGACACACATTTTGCATACGATTTACTGCATGCATTTTTTTGGGTCAACTAATATAGATAGAAAAAAGCGCGAAGTTCGCCGCACGAAAAGTAGAGATCCATCAAAATTAATGTCGCTACTTTACTTTACTTTGTGGTGTGTGTATTAACTTTTGTGTCAGATGAAGATTTCGCAGTAATGTCAGAATATTCTTTGGACTCCTTGGAGAGCGTTGAGGAAGATTCCTTGGAAAAACGTGTTTTAATAAATAGTGATAATGATCATAACCCGAAATCAATTAAGTCGAATGACAGATGTGTCAACGATCAAGAACAAGCTCTATATGATTTGAATTCTGCATTCACAAAGTCGCTCCGAATTAATGGTACAAAAGATATTAAATTAAATTAAATTTTAAAAAATCGCGTCAGAAAGGAGAGATTTTAACCATAATTATAATGTGATAAAATATATAATATAACTTCGATAAAGAATTTTCCTTTTGGAGAAAATGTTTTTGGAAGGTTAACAAATTAAATTAAATTAAATTAAATTTCTGTTTCACGTGTTAAATTAAAAGTCGCGAATTAAAAAGAAAAATTCATGACGTGTAATATCGATATTTACAAATAATGCGATATTTAATTCAAATAAATATCTTGTCAAGATCTTCGAAAGGGAAATGCTCTGGAATTAAAATCCCGTATTATCATGCTGCATGTTAGAAACGGCTCTCGTTTTCCTCGTTAACGGCAAATAATTGTGAAAGTGCGTATATGCAGCGCGTAAACAATAAAAGGGCAAGGATACTAACGACGAGAGCCGATTCGATCCGCGTAATGCGATTCACCGTAATCCGGAAAGTCGCGACTTTTGTCGGCGGACGAATGGATATCGTGTGCTAATTAATTAATGATTGGCGCATAGTACCATCGATGTGGCGACGGTCGTCGGGAAGTCGATCGAAAGTTCCACGGTAATCTGAGAGCTCGCGAAGCCGAAGCGGGCGCAGAACCGAAGGCGATCGATCGTCTCGTTAACGACAGTACCAATTAAATAATATAAAACGTAATATCTGTGGCCGATTCCCCCTGGCCGTCCGCGGTAATGTAAAACTCCACGGAATAATTAAAGCGACGAGCAAAGTTAGGTGGAATAAAATAGCGCAGGCGATAACGTGAATGGCAAGGAAATCCGCTATTGATTCTGAGCAAGAAAAAGAGGGGTAAGAGAATAAGAGAATTTTATTATGTTCCGGACGAAAAATATGCTGGAAACGTTAAACGGTGAGATCAATGTTGAAGAGAGAGATTATTAGCAAAAAAGAGACGTGTTGTACGTCGACTGTCTGCATAAATTAACAATATTCGAGCTTAATGCACGCCAATATTAATATATATATGAAAAATTACATGAATTCGCATTACGTTAATCGTAAAAATGTTAAGAAAAGTATCTGTTTGCAAGAGTACGGGCTTATTTAATTTTTATGCAAATGCGACTTCGAGAAGGAGCGCATTCTAATCACGCATTCTGCTGACAATCTTTTAGACAATACGGCGGAGGCCAACTGCACCGTACGTGAGGACAGATGCACGAATACAACGAGCGGCAAGAATTCGATAATTACGAGCGGAAGAGGATTCGCCCGACGACAACAGGAATGCCGCGCGACACGGGACGAACCGTGGCTTTGCATAAGAAAGAGGAATGACGCCGAAGAACGGATAGGAAAAGGCGACGTGAATCGTCGTCGTTGTCGTCGTACGTTGAGACCGACGACGATGGCAACGACAACAACGACGACGACGAGGACGACGACGATGACGACGACGACGACGACGACGATGACAGAACGATTCCCCGGGGGTACGAAATTCTTCGTCAAAATGCAGTCTACGCGACAGCGAGGGCGGTATGAGAGCCGACAAAAAGCTCGGCAACGTGTTCGCACCGTGGATCCGGAGAGCGACCAGGACTATCTCGTATTCGGAGCTTTATCGTCGCAGACTCAGTTAGTCCCTAACGAGATCAGACTCCTCCTTCGGAACATACGCGGAACAATGCGCGGAAACGCGTCCGACAGCCCCGCCATACTCGTCGGTAGATCCCAATAAAAAAGATGAGACGAAACGATGCAATCTTCCCCGAGGACGTTTACTTTCTTTCGTGATTAGAAGCGGGGGTGCGTTCTGCGTCGCGAGAGAGATTGAGCGAAAGGTGGAAAGGAACGATGAGATTTCCAGTCTGGCAGATGAATCTCGGTGGATTGGTAGCTCGACGTTGTCATCCTGTTTTTTTTAAAATGGCTAGATTTTTAAATTGCGAAAGTCAACGGGGTTCTAGGTCACGTGTTATCTACAACGTCTTTCGTTTTGATCCGGCGTGGGAAAGGCATAGCGACAAATGTACCAATTTAAGAATTCAATTTTCATGAATATAAAATTATCATTTCAAATACAATGAAAAAAAAATGGTCTGTTCCTCCTCTCTGAACTTTTAAATTGAAGTAAGCTTTTTAACTGAATTAATTTTTCACTCAGGAATTATTGACATTGAATTATAAATGCAAATGTGCTCTCTCTCTCTCTCTCTCTCTCTCTCTCTCTCTCTCTCTCTCTGTTTTTTTTTATTCCTCCGAAAAGAAAAGTTCTTTTATACAATTCACGCGAGTTCCACGTAAATTTGTCAGAATTTTTCCTCTGTTACGCTCATGAATCTCGACTATCTACTAATGTACCGACACATATCCTGTCCGAGCGACATGATAGGGTCGAGAATATTAAATCATACGTTTGAATTTTACTCAAACACGTTGTTGTAAGGTATGAAGTTTTATTTCACTAGATGTGCACGCGCACACCACGAAGAGAGATTTTACCGTGACGCGATGCAGGCATAGCTGCCACAGCTTTCTACATATTACGACGCAGTAAAGTTGCACGATGAAAAAAGTTATATTTTTGCAAAAGGGGATTAAGCGTCCGCTCCACGTAAAACATCTGAAACTTTCGCCAGAATTGCTTTAACTGACCTATGTTTTTTTTTTGCGATGCGTAGGTCTGATTATAAAATTTCACGCGCGAAAAAGATGATGTGATTCATAAAAAATATTTTTTTTAGTATCTCTCTTATTATTTAATTTTAGTTACTAAAAAATACCACGCTGAGGGAATAGCATTATGTTATCAACTATGTTATTGAAAATTTTTTCTGAATGAAACAAAATGGATCTGAATAAGGAATATTTTTTAATCAAGATTAAAATAAAATAATTTAATCGTAGCTATGAAAATTTCG